TATATATATATATATATTCTTCAAAATTAACACTTTTACCAAAAAAAAGGTGCCATGATATTTTACTTATTCCAATAATTATTATTAAAATGGTTACTAAGTTTTTCCTCTTCACCTCTTGCTCCTCACCACCTGCCCAGATCCTGCACTCCCATCCCTGTCCCACTTGCTGGCAGCCCTGTCCCACACACTGAATCCCTCATATTTGTCCCCACCCCAGAGCCCAGGGGGGTCCACAAAATCCACTAATTCTGGAACTCCAGAAGAATAAATCTGGCCTATGGGAAGCCCTGAACCTCAGGGCTCTTGTCCCTCCCCATCACCACAAGGGGCTGGAGCACCAGAGGAGTGAGGTGTCTCAGTTGGGGGCCACATCTGAGAGGGTTGGGAGGGGTGTTGGAGGTTCCACATCTGAGAGGGTTGGGAGGGGTGTTTGAGGTTGTTGTTTTTTGCTTCTGACTTGTGTGGTCCAACTGATTTTTCTGTGGGTCAGTGGCCCCGACCCAAAAAAGGTTGCCTGCCCGTCTTAAAGACAACATTGAAACCTTTTGGGTTGGACATAAATGAATATTTTACTTTATTTAAAATGAAGTTTGATAAATTAACACGAGAAAGATAAGCGCTTAATCTGTTTAATCATTTAAATTCATATTTCCTTTCTTACTGGTTAAATTAAACTGTTCTCCCTAGCTGCAGCACTAGCAAAATGGCATGGGCATAATTATGTAATTAACGGTAAATTTCCATTAGTAACTGGTGGTATGCGGAAAGGTTTGCATTGAGCCAGGTGGGCCAAAGGCCAAAAACTTTGAGAACCACTGGTCTACACTAAAGTGCAGAGATATTAATTCAACTTTTCAAATTCACACTGCAAGTAACAAAAGATGCTGCAGTTGTCCTAATGGTCTCTCAATTCATAATCCTATTCCCTATTCACTATACAAACGTTAGTTCCTTCAAATGAACATATAGTGTAGCTAAAAGAAAAATACAGTTATGTCAATTACTTTCCTTGGTAAAACAGAACTTTGTGGAAGAATTCTTCAGTTTCATTCAGCACTGAAAGTTGTCTGAGGAAGTACATATTTCCATTATACTCAGAATATGGTCAGCTGTTTGTTACATTTATTTTACTAACTAGGTCTAATATGTAAAAATCAAAGGTCATTACAGTCATGATTTCTTCTTCTAGAGTATTTTTCCCAGCACTTGGGAGAGTATGAAAATATGCTGTCTGCCTTAGAAGATCTAAATGTTTCTATACTTAAGGCCATGGACAAAACAAAGAAAGTAAGTGGAGTGATATTTATCTTCTACACGGTATTTTGAGGTTTTTTTCTTCTGTGATTTGATGTGCTGGGTTTTCATTACATTATGCAAAAAGTATTTGATAACTCTTATTTAATTATTTTCACATTTTCTTGTTTTATTACCAGAGGAAAAACAAGCTTCTTAAAATGGCCAAAATACGAAGCCATTAAAAACAACAAATAGTCATGTGGCACCTTAAAGACTAGTATGAGAAAAGCACTGATAATACAACTTTCAAGAAATAGTTTTTAATATTTCAGGAGCACTATTTACAATATGTCCAGTTGCAGCTCCATAGATTTTTAAAGTCAGAAGAGGTCACATTGATAATCTCATTTGACCTTCTGTGTAACACAGATTAGAGTATTTCCCCCAGTAATTCCTGCAAAGGGCGATAACAGCATCATCTATGCAAGACGAACATGAGGATTTTCATCAGTACCATAAAAACAGAAGATGCCATATTTTGCATCAGGGTTGTCAGAACAACAGCTAGAAAGTTTATATCTTATTGTGCAGAGGTTGACTCTCATCATCTCCTCATGACTGGGCATGGCATCTCTCTCTCCATTAAGATTTGCTGGCCTGCCTCTTCCTGTGACTTGGCTCTTCATCCAGGACACTTCAAAGGCTTTCCATCTCCAGGATAGTCCATAAACAGAAAGCAAGGGGAGTTAACACAAATAAACTGACTTAGTAAGAGAGAAAAACTTAACCAAAAAATAGTCTGGTAGCACTTTAAAAACTAACAAAACATGTAGATGGTATCATGCGTTTTCATAGGCACAGCCCACTTCTTCAGATGAATGGAGTGTTGGATGTCCAGAACCAAGAATAAACAGGGGAGAGGAGAAAAAGAGGCAGGGGGTAGATGAGTTTCAAAGGGAATGCCAAGCCACTCTGTAACAGGAAAGACAACAGATAGGGCTATCTATGTCTAAACTACATCCCTCTTTCGAAGGAGGGATGTAAATTGGGCAGATCGAAAGTGCAAATGAAGTGGGGATTTAAATATCCCACGCTTCATTTGCATAATTGCATCAGTCGTCTATCAGAAAAAGGGTATTTCAAAAGTGAAACTGCCATCTAGATGCGGTTCTTCCAAACCTCTCCCCCTCTTTTTTGAAAGATCCTGTACAGGATCCTGTAAAGGAGTACAAGATCTTTCGAAAAAGGTTTTTCCCCCCACAAACCTCTCCCCCTCTTTTTTGAAAGATCCTGTACAGGATCCTGTAATATTTCAAAAGTGAAACTGCCATCTAGATGCGGTTCTTCCAAACCTCTCCCCCTCTTTTTTGAAAGATCCTGTACAGGATCCTGTAAAGGAGTACAAGATCTTTCGAAAAAGGTTTTTCCCCCCAAAAGAACCGTGTCTAGATGGCAGTTTCACTTTCAAAATACCCTTTTTCGAAAGACCACTGTGATGTAATTATGCAAATGTATTGTGGGATATTTAAATCCCTGCTTCATTTGCACATTTGATCTGCCTAATTTACATCCCTCTTTTGAAAGAGGGATGTACTTTAGACATAGCCTGTCTGTTGTTTTTCCTGTTACAGACTGGCTCTACTTTCCCTCTGAAACTTTTCTACCGACTGCCTCTTTCTCCGCTCCCCCTCCCCTACATCCTTCCCCCATTTATTTTTGGTTCTGGACATCTAACACTTCAGTCATCTGAAGAAGTGGACTGTGCCTAAGAAAGCTCATGATACCATCTACATGTTTTGTTAGTCTGGTAGCACTTTAAAGACTATTTGTTGTTGTTTTTTAAAGTTTTTCCTGATAAAGACTAACTTGGCTACCCCTCTGAAGCTTAGTAAGAGAGAGTAAGGAATGTTTCGATCTCTAGGACCTGGCTGTGCCTTACCTCAGGGAGGGACCTTCAAGCAATGGTGGTTGGGGAAGTTTCAGCTTTCCTGAAGGTTTGAAAGTCTATTTTCTTCCCTGGTCTGCTAAGAACTGAGCAAGATTGTTCCCTTGTAAGTCTTCCTCCAGACTATTTGTGTGGCTTGGCGGAGTAGGGCGGGTTAAGCCCCAAGCAGCATTTTAAACACTTGTTGTCCAGAGTGGTGTTTACATACCCCATCACACTTTTATTTGGAGCTTGATCCAGTGAGATGCTGTGAACCTTCAATTCCCAGTGAAGTCAATAGGCACTGGGGGTATGTCTACACTACCACCCTAGTTCAAACTAGGATGGTAATGTAGGCAACTGGAGTTGCAAATGAAGCCCGGGATTTGAATTTCCCAGGCTTCATTTGCATCTCGCCGGGCGCCGCCATTTTTAAATGTCCACTAGTGCGGACTCGGTGCCGCACGGCTACACGCGGCACGGACTAGGTAGTTCGGACTAGGCTTCCTATTCCGAACTACCGTTACTCCTCGTGAAACGAGGATATTGTTAATATATACTCCTCGAGGAGTAACGGTAGTTCGGAATAGGAAGCCTAGTCCGAACTATCTAGCCCGTGCCACGTGTAGCCGTGCGGCACCGAGTCCGTACTAGCGGATATTTAAAAATGGCGGCGCCTGGCGAGATGCAAATGAAGCCCGGGAAATTGAAATCCCGGGCTTCATTTGCAACTCCGGTTGCCTACATTACCACCCTAGTTCGAACTAGGGTGGTAGTGTAGACATACCCTGAGTGTGTTCATATCTTTGTCCTATTGGGTATTAACAATATCTGCCTGAATATAAGACTGCTCGATCAACCACATGTATAGGATAGTACTTTGGGGCAGAACGTGTCTTCTGGTAAATATTGGATGTAAACACAATGCACATTTAGAATTACTTTGGAAGTTAATTACATAGGCGGAGTCTGAGTAGTAGGAATGTTGGGAAGTAAAACCATTACTGACTAGATACAAAATATCCCAGATTTTCCTATTTGTATTACATTTGGCTGCCACAGCAACTCATTTAAAAACATTACAGCTCGCCTAGACATTATCTTGACTTAGATTCATGGTTAATGGTTTTGCTTTCCTCTGGAGATACACTGAACAGCACACTCTGCACAGTACTATATAGTGACAATAGGGCTGTTAAGTGATTTTAAAATCACAATATTTCAATGCTAAAAATGCTATTAAAATAGTGCAATCAGAACTGATTAATGTCATTTACATATTTGTGGATATTTTGTACATTTTCAAAAATATTGATTTCAATTACAACACAGAGTACAAAGTGTACAGTGCTCACTTTATTATTTTTATTAAAAATATTTACATTGTAAAAAATAGATAGTATTTTCAAATCACCTTATACAAGTACAGTACTGGAATGCAATCTCTTTATCCTGAAAGTGTAGCTTACAACTATAGGGTTTTTTTACATTTATTTCCGCTCAAAAAACAAAAACAATGTAAACCTTTTGGAACAAAGTCCATTAGCATTAAGCTAAAAATTTGAAATTCAGTGTTATTTTTTGTTTACTGTTCTTACATTTTTTCTAACTGAAATTGGTAGCATCAGAATAAGCAATATTGGTTGATTCATATTCAGAAATACAATATTCATGATTTTAATGTGCATCAAGCAATCACCATAAAGCTGCTTTGATTTTTTTTTTTTGCATTACATTTATTTTCTGACATTTAATAACACTTGACAGGCATCTGCATTAACTAAGTCCATTAAGCCAAATCTTCTCAGCATGTAAAATCCTGTAGACCTCAGTCTAGCAGAACTTCAATATGGAAAGTTTTGTTAACCTCATATCAACAGAGAATATTTCCAATTATACATGTTTTCCTGCACCACTGGGCATCACAGGGTTAGAGCCAGGACCAGATTTTGACCCCTATAATGTAATATCAGTGCAGTTTAATATACAGTAGTACTTTAAATGCACAGAGAGACTTTTGGATTCAAAATATAGCTTGATATCCTCTTAAAACCCGATCCAAAATGAATATAAATCAATCAGATAAAACAAACGTAAGCGTTATAGAGGGCAAAAACACCGTAAAAGCAGTTAAGAGGTTTACAATGATTTAAGACAAGAAATAGCATAAGAGATTATGAATTAGAATATGTTTGAATAGACCATGACTAAGTAGTCAGTGAGGGTATGTCTACACTACAGCGCTAATTCGAACTAACTTAGTTAATTCGAACTAAGCTAATTCGAACTAACACGTCTAGAACTAAAAACTAGTTCGAATTAGCATTTTGCTAATTCGAACTAGCATGTCCACATTAAGTGGACCCTGAACAGGGCTTAAGGATGGCCGGAAGCAGCGCCGGCAGGGCATCAGAGGAGGACTTAGAGCGTGGAGATGCTCTCTCAGGCTAGCCGAGGGCTGTGCTTAAAGGGTCCCGACCCCGACCCCGGACAGACAGTTCTCAGGGGTGCCCCGCTTGAAAACCAGTCCTGGCTTGGAGTGCCCGGAGTGCCCATACTGGGCACATCACACCACTCAGCCATCAGCCCGGCTGCACTTGCCGCAGGCTGCCATCTGGGAACAGGGGGCAATTGGGAGGCTGCAGGAGAGCTTCCACCCCCAGAAGCCCACAGAGCCAGCCCAGTCCTCCCCATCGGGGGCTCGTGCCCCATTCCTCCCTCACCTCCTTCCACTTACCCTTCCCTAGCCCCTTTTCTTGATGTACAAAATAAAGGACAATTGTGTTCAAAAATGGAATCTGTCTTTATTGAACAAAACTGGGGGAGACTGGGAAAAGGAGGTGGGAGAGGGGAAGAGAGAGGCTGGGAGAGGGGAGGGCAACTAAAATGATCAGGGGTTGGGAACAGGTCCCATATGAAGAGAGGCTAAAGAGACTGGGACTTTTCAGCTTAGAAAAGAGAAGATGGAGGGGGGACAGGATAGAGGTCTATAAAAGCA